TGGAGCCCCACTGCCACCAACGGCCTGTGTGTCCTTGTCCCTGCTGGCCGGGTGGACGGTCCTCACGTTCAGACTCCCCTCGCCCTGGGAGGCCGGCAGCGAGCGCTGTTCCAGTTTACAGACGGGAAAGGAGCCCGGAGGTCGCCTGGCCTTGCCCCGGGCTGTGTCTTGAACCCAGCCCCAGCCCTCGCCTGCAACCCACCGCTGCAGCCCACCCAATTCCTTTCTCTCTCTGGGTCCCCAGCCCCCCTCTACTCCGAGTACCAAGCCTCGGAGCCTCAGGGTGGCCAGCTGTCCTGTGTGGGCTGCAAGAAGGACGTCACCTCCTCGGGACTCGCCCTACGCCCCTGGTGGAGGGGTGATGAGTCGGGGAAGGTAGGGGTGCCCCAGGAGCCCAGCTCATGGAGGAAGCGGGGTTCTCCCGGGCTGCCAGCCCTCTGTGTTCACGGGCTCACTCAGTGTGAATCAGGCACGGTGTCAGACTCTCCTGTTCAGCCCTTAAGTAAAGCAACTGATAAAACTCACAGATTTGGACAAAGGCCTCCTTGGTGGATAATTGAGTCTCCAGATGCCGACTCAGAAAGGAACTTGCTCCCTGAGAAGCAGCAGTGGGCGCACCTCTCCATGCTCACTGCGCAGACGGCCCTCAGCTTACAGAGGAGTCCCCTCGACCCCTTGTTAATCCAAGATACCCCAAGTCAGGGACACATGGAACACGCCCACCGGACATCACAGCTCAGCGTAGCCACCATGACGGGCTCACAACACTTCCACTAGCCTATATCCGGCAAGATCATTGGTCCCAAAGCTTAGTTTTAAAATAATTTCAAATTTGCTCTAATTAGTTATCCGTGACAGTAGAATGCACTTTGACACATCCTACATAAATGGAGCATGACTTCTCATGCTCCTGGTTGTGTGTGATGTAGAGTTACACTGGTCATGTAACCATGTGGGATAATGATATCCGATTCATTCTACTATCCTTCCTCCCCCCAGGCTGCCCCTCTCCCTTTACTCCCCTCTGTCTCATCCAAAGTACCTCTATTCTTCCCTAGTGCCCCCTGGCATTGTGAATTAGCATTCTCATATCAGAGAAAACATTCAGCCTTTGGTTCCTGGGGATTGGCTTATTTCACTTAGCATAATATTCTCCAGCGCCATCCATTTACCAGCAAATGCCATGATTTCATTCTTCTTTAAGGCTGAGTAATATTCCATTGTGTCTATGTACCACATTTCCTTTATCCATTTGTCTGTTGAAGGGCACCTAGGTTGGTTCCATAGTCTAGCTATTGTGAGTTGAGCTGCTATAAACATTGACGTGGCTGCTTCACTGTAGTGTGCTGCTTTTAAGTCCTCTGGGTATAGACGAAGGAGAGGGATAGCTGGGTCAAATGGTGGTTCCATTCCAGGTTTTCTGAGGGATCTCCACTCTGCTTTCTGTGATGGTCGCACCAATCGGCAGCCCCACCAGCAACATATGAGGGTACCTTTTTTCCCCACATCCTTGCCAACATTGATTGTTGCTTGTATTTTTGACAAAGCTTATTTTGTAAGAGTGTTGAACATCTCGTGTGGTTTCTTAAATACTGAACTAATAGCGAAGAAACAGACGGATCGTCTGAGCAGGCTTTGACACCATCATCGAGGACAAAAATCAAATCAGGGCAGTTGAACCACGAGCCATCCTGAGTCAGGGCCCGTCTGTATGTCTTCCATGCTGCTTGGGTCGGGGCTGAGGGTCGCCACCCATGTACCCCATTTGGGGTCCAACAAGCTGTGTATACTTTAGGCTCTTCAGAGGGTCATCTCAGATCCCAAGTGACATAGATGAGGCTGTCTCAAATTACTTTTGAGTGAAAAAGAGTCACCTAAATGAAAAGTCGATTATTCATCATCCTTTATCACCAGCTGGTGGAAGGGATTTGGGGTTTGGAACAACTAAGCCGCTGCTGAACAGTCATTAGGCAAATCAGTGAACCCCCTGAGCCCGTTTTCTACCCCGCCAGGATGCAGTGAGGCTAAAATGAGGAGCACAGATAAATTTCCTAGCCCGGGGGCTGGTGCTCGGAGCGCTGCTGCGTCTCCATAAAGGGTCGCCGGGGAGCTGTTGCTGTGTGAGATGATGGAGTCACTTGGAACCGGGGTGCAATGGCAGTCACAGCTGTTGGCATTTATTCTGTGCTGACAATATTCCAGACGACATGCAAAGCAGTTTCCTTTTATCTCATCGATGCTGCACCGTCCTCTAGAACCCGAGCACCGTGGTTATCCCATTTTACAGATGAAGAAACTGGGGCTGGGAGAGTCTCAGTCACAGGCCCAGGGCCACAAGGTCAGGAAAGGTGAGGACGTTCCCACTCATCCCGAGTCCCTTAACCTACACCTCGGGGCTTCGAGTTGAACCCCTGGCTGCTCAGCAAGTGGGGGACTGAACCTGCTGAGTTTTTCTCTCCCGGTTGGAGGTTGCCTGTCAGCAGGCTGCGCCACAGAGCAGCACCCACGCTGGCTAGCCACTCGTCACCCCTCCTGGGCTCTCTCTTAATATTCATGACATCCATGGGCCCAGGTGCTGGCCGTCCCCGTGGGGCCAGGCAGCTGCCCACGGTGGCCAGGAAGCCAGCTGCGGGCAGCTTCTGCGGCTCCCTCATCCTGGGTATCCGGGTCAGGGCTGGGGTTGCTTTGTTAGCTGCCCTGGGGGTGGGGAGCTTCAGCGCAGAGGCTACGGCGGGGAACTAGTGGCCGATGGATCTGGAACTTTCCTATTTGGATCATAATGGCACCAGCTGGAGCTGGAGAGGCAGAGGCACTGGTCTTAGGAAGTGTTCGCTTTGCAATGTTATCTGGAAAGAGCGCGTGCCCTCGTCCGGGGCTGAAGTCCTGGGTCCCCTCCGGGTCCCATTCTTGGTCCCGCAGACGAGGTGAGGAGCGCAGATGTGCCCTGTCCTGGAGGTTTGTCGTGGGGGACAGGGCAGGGAGCCCAGTGGCGCACCCCGGGCTCGGGCAGTCACGGGAGGGTTCTGAAGAGCCTCGGGATGGGGCTGATTGTATAATGGGGTGTAATGAGGCTTGAGGCCGAGGTTCATTAC